CCCCGCACACAGATATTAACATGGGAACCGCTGTAAAACTCAGCAATGTGCACCAACACAGTGGGCTTCCCAGGGCTGGAAGCCCCCTGCCGTGAGAGCCTGCAGCAGGGGCTTCACTTGGAGTGAGCAGTCCAGAAAGGCCTCTCCAGCAGGACAGCTTCCAGGCTGAGATGTGCAGGGGCGGGGAAGAGGAGCCACCCTGGAAGGAGGCAGAGGGAGAAACAAGAGGAGGTGGGAGGCCCCCAGGGCCTGGGGACTCCTGGGGCTGCAGGGGCAGGCTGAGATGGGAGGGCTGCTACCAGGTTTCTAAAGCTCCCTGTGGCTGGCAGCCCTGAGGAGAGGACAGGCTGGGCACAGGGACTGAAGGATGAGCTCAAGTGGTCCAGAGTGCCTGGGTGAGGTGCTCAGATCAGCCTTGACACTCTAGGGTGACAGAGGCCAGGAAGCAGGGAGGCCTCCTGGAGGAGGTGGCCTTGGGGCTGTGCTCAGCCCTGTGGGAGGGAGGGCTGGGTGTGATGGGCTAGAGGATGAGCAGTGACTCCCCAGGGTCATGAGACCCCAGCACTGGGACCGGGCCTGTGGAAGGAGAGGGGCCCCGGATGTTCAGCCATGGCCTGACACCTGGGCCAGCACTGCCTCCTGCAGCAGGGGCTGGAGGGTAGGCGCTTTCCCAATCGCTCTGCAGCTGGGCAGGGTAAGAGGAAGTGCAGGCCCCAGTGTGGCTGGAGGAGTGACTGGGGAGGAGGTGCCTGAGCCAGGGCCTTGCCACAACAGCAGCTCCTGGGGACTCTGGGGGTCACGGGCCACAGTCAGAGAGGCTAGAGGAAGTGAGAGGTGACTTCCTGGACCAGCCATCGCCATGGCCCTGGCCCAGCAGCTGCGGGCTGAGAGGTGAGTGCTGGGTGGCCCCTCCCGGCCTCCTCTCTGCTCCCAGCAGGCTGTGGTGTGGAGCAGGGCCGGGCCTCTCTGTGGTCCCCCAACAGCCCAAGGGGCTGTGTTTGAACCTGATCTTCAGAGCTGTAGCTCTGGAAACTGCTTTCAGGAACCGTGATCTGTGACTCACCACCCTCAGGCATCAGAGAGGGGTGCACGGCTTGCCCGGGTTGTACACTGTGTGCCGGAGCCAGGGCGGCCCTTTGCTCCAGGTGTGTCAGGAAGGCTTTGTATCTTCTGGGTAAAGGGAGTTGCAGCCCATGCTGTTCTCTCTTCTGCCCAAGCGCTGCTGCCTCCTCCACCACACCTGCCCTGACAGCCCCTTCCTCTGCTTACGCACATTCCCCACTGCTTGCTTTTCCTGCATTACTGCTGTCATGCCATATTCTCATGTTTTGCTTTTTTCTTTACCCTCGCCATCATCTTCATCCATTAGAAGCAAACCCATGAGGGTCTGTCTTGGCCAATGCAGTGATGCAAAGCAGTCCTGGCACCTACAAAGCACTCTGCAAACGTCACCAAAGTGAATAACGCACGGATCTCTGAGCTGGAGAACGTCCTAGATCCAGCTATATGGCCGATACTGCCATTATACAGATGGGAAAACTGAGGCCCAGGGAGGACATAGAGCCGAGCCTCTCAGCAGCCAGACCTGCACTCCCACCTCTGGGGGTCCTGAGGACACAGTGTGGCTCCGCTAGCCATTTGAGCACTGTGGGACAGAAACCAGGCCAAGGTGGGGAGCAGAGGGCTGGAGGTGGAGCCTGGGGCCGGAAGGGGAAGCAGAGAAGGAATTTCCCAAGGCCTAGCCTCAGAAAGAAGGCCCGGCCCCATGGAGGTGGCAAGGGCAGTGGAGTGCGTGCCTAGAGGTGGGGTCACCATGGTCTCCTGCAGCCAGCGAGGTGGCACTGCGGGGCTCAGTGAGGTCACCTCGATTCCAGCTCATCTTCCCCACAGGTGTTCAGGGAAGGCTGAGCAAAATCAGCACCCCAGAAGCTGCCGGAACTTGAGGCTGGGGCTACTTCCTGCTTCAGGAGATGAGGGGAGCGCCGGCTGGGATTGCTGTGTCCCTGTCCGCTGACCCCAGCAGCCTCCCTGTGCACCTGAGTGTGGCCTGGGCACTGCCACACAGAGACAGAGGTGGCAGCTGTGTGTTGAGCACCCATGAAGCACTTGGCGCCCTCCTCGGCACTGGGGACCCCATGTGAGCAGGGTCCCCGTCCCCACAGGTCCAGGCTGTGATTGTTACGGTTGCGGCCTCTGGACCACCCAAAGCAGTGCTCCCAGTGTCCCCATTTTATAGGGAGTGGAAGGGGCGGGCGTGAGGGAAGGCATCCTCCCAAGGTTCCCTTCACAGAGCTGGGCCGGGGCCACAGTGTTGCGTTGGGCCCAGGCGCGTGGCCGCTCTGCTCAGCCTGGTGGCTGCCTGCACACCAGGGAAAAGCTAAGGCGCCCCCTAGCGGCACAAAGAGGCCGAGCAGCCAGAGGCCACCCAGCAGGCACTCAACCCAGGGCCCTCCCTGTGTGGAGTTTGCAAAGGGGCTGATTGCACGTGGACAGTGCGCTGCGAGGGGCCTGGTTTGTCCGAGCCCACTCAGCGGTGGGGGCTCCCATCCTGGAGGGGCTGCTTGGGCTCAAACCCCAGCTTACTGACTTCCTGGAGCAACCTAGTTAACCTTTCTGCAACTCAGTCTCCTCTTGTGTAAAATGACAGCTCCGTCTTAGAGGAACACTGAGGGTCCAGGGCACACACAGGAAGTAGTCTGCTGTGCACAGTTAGTGTTACCCAACTTGCCCCACCAACCCCTGGGGGCAGGGCCATTTCTCCTCCTGTTACTTCTGGGCCCTCCCTCATCTTGCTGCAAGTGAAAAAGACTCATGAAAGACACAGCCTCTGGGATGGGGGTGGAGTGGAGAAAGTAGCTCCTCCCAGGGGAAGAAAGCGAGTGGGAAGGTTGAGGCTCAGCGTGGGGATTTCCTCTTCTTGTCCGCCAGTGCCGAGTCACTTCCAGTAGTAGTGATGGCTTCACCCAAGTTCTGTTGCAGCCCTAGGTCTGGACAGACCACACGGGGATGGCATGAGCCTCATTTCCCCATTGTGACCCTGGAGGAATCTCAGCTGCTTCCTGCTTCCTGTCCAAGAGGGGCTGCGCCTCCTCCCTCCTTGACTGTCCTCTGTGTTCTCACCTCTGACGGCCGCTGGACCCCCTCTGGCTCACCAACAGTGCTTCCCTGGCATCCTAACCACACGCCACACCAGATGGTTGGCCTCTCGGGCACTCCACTGAGCTCCCTCCCTGTCCCCAGCTCCCTCCTGGGCACCTACAGGCTGCCCCAAACTGAGTCCCTTGCCCACCCTGCCTGCAAATGTGGGCATCGCCCCTGCTTTCATCTGCACATCCAATCAGCGCCCACACCCTGCTGGTCACAACTCAGGAACAGCACGCAGATTGGTGATGTGTCTCACATTAGGCTGAGGGGGAAAGAGGAACCAAAAGTGGCTTAAACAATGATCAGGGTGGTTGTTTTTTTTTTTTCCCACACAGTAAAGACCAGAGTTAAGCCATTGCTGGTTCCACCCACAGCTGAGCGACTTCGTAAGCGGCATCCCAGGGACTCTTGCTCTTCCTCATGTTTTGGGCTCCTGAACACAATGTGGCTACTAGAGCTCCAGATGTTACACTTGTTTCCAAGGGAGGAGATGAGACCAGCTTTGCCCAGTCTTCTGGATCAGTAAAGCAAACATCCGAAAGGCCCCTACACCAGATTTCCTCTTAGGTCTCATTGGCCAGAACAGGTCCCAGAGGCCCTCTCTTCTGCCAGGGAACTGAGAAACAGGACAGGATTATTACGTTTGATTCAGACCAAACATGATCTATCACCTTGGGTCTAGGCACTTGGCCACTTTGAACAGAGTTGGCACTCAGCCAGGAAGAAGTGGGGACACAGCAAATGCCAATAGAGTCTGCTAAGGGTGGTGTCACTGGATATTATCAGCTACCTGTGCATGGGGCTCTATGTGGGTCAGCTTCATGTTACTATTAGACAAAGCCTGAGGCAAGTAGCTTATAAAGACAGAAGGTTTACTTGGGTTCATGATGATGGAGCCCAATCTGAGCTTGGGTGGCCCTTGTTGCTCTGGGCCTCTGGCAAGGGCAGCACATCATCATGGGAGCACATGGCAGACCAGACTGCTAACAGCTGTCAGCAGAGGCATGGGACAAACAGGATCCCTTTCAAGGGGATGCCCCAGTAGCCTAAGGCCCTCCACTGAGGCCCTGCCTCCGAGTACTCACAGCACCTCCCAATAGCACCACTCTGGGAACCAAGTCTTTAAAACATAGCCTTTAAGGAGCTCCCAGGACACTCTCTCAACAGTGGCTGTGCCCTTGCTTACCCTGGGGACCATCCTGGTGACCAGGCCACTCTGCAACAGCCAACAAGGTAGATCCCTGTCTTTGCAAGCCCTTACCCCTGAGGCCTGCTGGGTGTCATGCCACACAGGAGGGTCTGAGGAATGCAGAGCCTGCTCCACACCCAGCCTCACTCGTAGCATGCTTGGAGCACAGCAGTGGTAACCCAGATCCTCCCCTCCTCCTCCCCTAGTGACTTCGAACAGCTTCCGGATGACGTCGCCATATCAGCTAACATTGCAGACATCGAAGAGAAGAGGGGGTTCACCAGCCACTTTGTAAGCATGACCCCCTGCCCCTTCATCCTCCAGCCTCTGAGCCTCCAACTCTTGGTCTCTTAACCTTTATCTCTCCATTTTCAGCTGGGCTGATTTGACCCTTTGGGGGACATTGGCCAGTCCCCTGAGACATTCTCACCACCGCCTCTTGAGGTGGGGCTGCTGCCAATGGCTAGTAGGAAGGAACAGAAGGAGGATCTGGGAGGCTTTGGGGGGCAGTGGGGAGAACACAGAGGGAGGGAGCAGGAGAGGAATTTAGGGGATTTGTGGTGAGGATCCTGGAATCAAGTGGAGAATTGGGCGGTATCTAAAGGGATCCATAGGGAACCCAACGGGTCTGGGGGAGACCCAGTGGGGAGTAGGGGAAATGTAGGGGCCTGGGAGAGGGTCCAAGGCTGCAGCTATCCCCATGGCAGTGCACAGGCCGCTTGGTGAGGAGTTTTCCACCCAGTGTAGGGCTGGGGCTGAGCGCCCCACTCTCTCCGCCTTCCAGCTCCTCCCTGGCCTGGAGCCCCTCCCCCCCTCCTGAGCCCTCCTCGCCCCTGCCTGCCTAGGTTTTTGTCATCGAGGTGAAGACAAAAGGAGGCTCCAAGTACCTCATCTACCGCCGCTACCGCCAGTTCTACGCCCTGCACAGCAAGCTGGAGGAGCGCTATGGGCCGGAGAACAAGAGCACCCCAACTACCTGCAGCCTGCCGGCACTGCCAGGTAGCGGCACCAGGGCCCGCCCTGCTCCCCTGGCCCCACAGTGCTTCCCTTTCAAACTGTGGAAACCATGGCTTTGGACTGCGGCCCCCTCCCAGAGTCACAACCATTAACCCTTGCTCTCTGCCACCACCTTGGTGTCTTCCAGGACTCCTCCTTAGAACTTTTGGCCTCTGGTGGCGTTTTCTTATTTTCAATTTTTTGTGATATCAGGGATTAAACCCAGGGCCCAGGGCCTTCACATTGTGCTACATCCCCAGTCTTTAAAGTCCACCTCCCTCCCTGTCCACCTCCATCCTCATCCATACCATGGACAGCTCCAGCACCCTCTGACTTCGTGGCTCCTGTGCTGCCATTTTACCTTAAAGGGAAAACCCAGCACCCATGAGCCAGTGGGGTGGGCTCAGCAGGACCAGCCCGGGCACTGCTTGTCACCTTCCCAGGCCTCAGAGACCCTGCACCACTTCCATTCTTCCCAATCCAGCTCCACTCCCCACTGTGTGCCAACCCTCTAAGTCATCCATCATCTGTCTATTGTCTGTCTGTCTGTCTGTCTGTCTGTCTGTCTGTCTACCTACTTATCTACCTACCTACCTACTTACCTACCTAATCTATCATCTCTCCCTCAGTCAATGAGCACATTCAGCTCCCATAACTCATTTCCCCTTCTCCTTCCTTGGGCAGCAGGCAAGGGGGCGCTCACCCACTGGGAGCCACCTCTCCCATCCTTGGCCCTTCCTTCCCATGGTCCTGTGGGCTCCTTGTGAACTCTGCCTCTGCACTGTGCTGAGCATCTAGGTGTTCTGTCTTTAAGCCAGAATATTTTGTTCCCTCAGAACTCAGAAGTGTGTGGGTACACATGTGTGTACGTGCATGTGTGTGTGCATGTACATGAGTGTGTACATATATGTGTGCATGCATTGTGCATATACATGCATGTGTGTATGTGTATGCATGTGTATGTGCACACATGCATGTACATGTGTGTACTTGCATGTGCATGCATATATACATATATTGTATGTGTGTGCATAAGTATGCACGTGTGTGTGTGCATACGAATGTGTGTGAATGTGTGTGTGCTTGTGTGTGTATGTGTGTGTACGTGTGCACACAGGCAATAACAGGACAGTTGTCAGAAGTTAAGGGTGCAGATCAGGGGAATGCAGCTGGGTGGTGGCCCAGGGCCAGACTGGCCGCCTTGTCGCCATGGAAAGATAAAGAGAAGCTCTCCAAGCCCGTAGGCTGGGGCTGGGGCCAGGACTCCGGCTCAGAAGGACAGCTCTTCTCTCCTTAGCCAAAGTCTTCATGGGCGTGAAGCAGGAGATCGCGGAGATGCGGATCCCAGCCCTCAACGCCTATATGAAGGTATGCACAGCCCGTGGCCTATGTGCTGGGGGAGGCATTGCCCTGGACATGGGGAGGAAACCAGTGGGCTGCCTGGCTCCTATGGCCCCATCTGCAGCCCCTCAGGGCCTGGCTTGGGGACAGAAGTTGGATGAGGATTGAGGGCCCTACTGATAGGGGAGGGAGCAGGGGAAGGCACAGGGAGCTGTGCTCACAGGGGCCAAATCCTCATTCAGCACTCCAAGCCACGGCTGTGTCTAAGTGCCACTACACAGACGGCGGTGAGTGAGGCCCAGTGCTTACCCTTAGGTGCCAGTGGGAGCAATGCCAGGGGGACCTGCCACGTGCCAGCATGGATATGCCCACGTCAGGGGCAGGACCACCTGGGCCACGTCCACTCATGTAGCTCTTTGTGCAAACAAGAGGAAGAAGGTCTCCTGGGGCAGCGCCAGCCCCTCACCTGAGCTCAGGCTGGGTTTTAGCTGCACTCCGTGCTGTCTGGGCACCACTGTGTATTCCCCAACATGCAACCCACCTGTCCCCTGTGACATGGACATGGAGGGAGGAGCTTCCTAAAGACAGGCCAGGCTGGTCCAGAAAGGCCTTCAGCCAGCCAGAGCCAAAAGGGAAATAGCCGGCATTACTCATGAGGTAGTGAGCACCAGGCCACTAGGGACCTTCAAGCCGCGACTTGAGAGCAGCCTGAGGAAGACAGGGAGGGGAGCCAGCCTCACACCCAGCAGGTGTTCTCGAAGCTGAAGAGCACTGAACTAGGAGTCTCATCTTGGCTCCAATGTGGATGGCTGGATGACATGGGGCAATTTGACCCTCGTCTCCAGAGAGGCTTTGGTTTCCTCTCCTGTGAGCTGGCCCTCCACCTCCCACCTCTTACCCACTGGGTAGAATCTGTGGAGAAAAGGACTGGAAAGTGCGCTGTGAGTTTCATTCGGCATGTGACAGCTCAGAATTTCTCCCAGAGGCAGGCCACGGTAGGCAGCAGGGAGCAGTGAGGCAGGGTCGGGCAGGGTTTGCAGGAACTGTGGGCTCTGAGCAGAGACGAGGCAGGAAAGCTAGTGGGCTCCAGCACTGCTGGCACTGCCCTCAAGGGGGCGCTGTGACCCCTCTGGTGGCTGACCCATCTTCCCTTGGGTTGACAGGGTGAAGCTCTTTGCCAGGGAGCAGATGGGGGGAGAGGCTGTAAAAGTAGGGGTCCTTGCTTCACAGGCAATCTTAACAACCGGCTTCTGAGGGGTCCCCTCTGTATGTCTGATTGGGATCCTTGGAGTGAGAGATCTTTAGGGCAGTGATCCCTGCTATAGCCATGCTGTCCTATACTTGCACACCTTCAGAGGCCAGGAGCTTACTACCAGTCTGCCCTATCTAGGCTGCTTGTTCCACTGTTAGATAGCTACTAGTAAAGTCCAATTCCTTATAAATTTCACCCCTGGCCTCACCCCATCCTCATCACGAAAGCTCACTGGAGCCATGTGCAGTGCTTTGGCAAGCAAGACACTCGCTATACCTTTGTGGGGCAAGTGGATCATTTCATTCAATCCCCCCATAACCTGTGAGTTAGCTACTATGATCCCCATTTATGACAAATGGAGAAAAGAGGCCCTGAGGGGCGAGGCTGCTGGGGCGTCACAGGGCAGCTGGGTAGGAGGGAGGGGACTTGAGCCTCCTCTGTGCCTCCAGGCTTTGCCTTTTACCCACTGGGCTAGGGCACGAGAAAGTGACAGCAGAGGCACGAAGGCCCTCTGATGGGTGCTGCATACATGCCTGGTGGTGGGCACTCGTGAGCTCTTTAGTCCTCACTATAGAGCTACCAGGAGGGTGCTGCTAATGTCCCCCATCCTACATGAACATCCGGGTCCCACAGGTGGGTGGCAGAGCTGGGGTCCATACCAAGAGCAGCCCGGCTCCTCATGCCCCACCTCCCTGTGTCACAGCCCAGGTTTTCCAGGCTCCACACCCCATTTTGGGGGGGATGCTCCCATCCTGCAGTCCATGTGGGATCCTCAAAGAGCTCTAGGTATTTCTAGAGCTGTGGGCTCCATGCCCTGCACTGAGCCCCTGGGGCCTGGGTGGCGAGGGGCCCGGTGGGGCCACCCAGCAGGCCGTGTCTCCAGGTCCTCACAGCATTCGGGGCTTCACGCAGTGGGGAGCGTAGCTGCAGTAAGAGGCTGCAGCTCCAGTCTCCACCCTGCTGCTCTTCAGCTCTGCCTGAGCTGAGCCCCTTGCTTCTTTGAGCCTCAGTTTCCTCAACTGTGAGATGAAGGTGTCAGGAAGCATTTTGTAGGCCGCAGTGAGGCCACCATCTGTTGCCAGTATAGTTATTCTAAGAATTAAGAGGTGCGTTTCAGCAGTGGATGGCTCTGGGTGCCCCAAGCCTTTCACCTGCTAGACTGTGTGACCCTGGGGACCGGGCAGCTCATGGATTATGACCAGATAGGCAGCGGTTACACATGGGGTTCCCAGCTCCGCGCCTGGCACGGCCAGGTTCCTATCCTGGCTGTTGTGGTTGTTCCCGGGGACTTTAGGTGTTTCCGAATGACCTTCCCTCATCCAGGGGCTCCCCTGCTGACCTGGTGGCCAAGAGCAAATTCTAACCTGTTACCTCAGGGCTGCTGAGGTTAGAAAGCCTTTTCTAACTGGTTTCTGTCCTCAGGAATAAGACACATTCATGGAGACAGAGGGAAGGGAGCATCAGCACACAGGGAGGGGACAGCTGAGCGGGGGTTCCCGACCTTTCTGCTGACCCCTGTCTTATTCCCTCACCCCGCAGAACCTCCTCAGCCTGCCAGTCTGGGTACTGATGGACGCCGATGTCAGAATCTTCTTCTACCAGTCCCCCTATGATGCGGAGCAGGTGCCGCAGGCGCTCCGCCGGCTCCGCCCACGCACACGCAAAGTGTGAGTGGCTGCCTGGGTGGTCGTGCACCTCTGGCCCCCGAGGTGGGAGGAGCAGGGGGGCCCAGCGTGGTTCGGCGAATTGGACAAGTCTGGAGGACTGGATTTGGGGCAACCAGGGGCGGGATTTGCTGTGTGGTGGCCAGAATTGGAGTCGGGGACCAGGCTGGCAACCAGAAGGATCTTGAGACACAGCAAGCGCTGGGGGTTCCTCAGGGGCCCTGGCTGCCTGAAAAGAGGGGGGGCTGGCAGGGAGAAGACACCACAAACCACCCCTCCTCAGAGACTTTGTCCCTGGTGTTAGGGCTCCCTGGCCAGCGGGGGCCTGGCCCTCCCATCAGGGGATACTGCTGCTCCTTATTCCCAAGGGGCAAAGACCACACCACCCCCTTCTGCCTCTCTCTAAGCAGCAGGTGCCACCCAAACGCCAAGTGATGGGCCACACTCACCCAAACGTCTAAAGCCAAAGCTACTGCATGTAAGAACTCCAGGGAGGAAGCATGCGCGGCCTCCGAGCCTGTAATCCCAGCACTCGGGAGACTGAGGCAGGAGGACTGTGACGTTGGGGCCAGGCTGGATGACTTAGGGAGACCTTGTCTGAACAGACAAATGGGCCAGAAGAGGCAGGCAGGAGTCCCAAGCCCGGGCTGCCTCCCAGCTGTCCTCTTTGCTCCAGCCCCTGAGTCTGTGTCTTCTGCTCTCAGCCCTTGGCACCACCCCATGTTCCCAGGCAGGTGTGGTCTGAGCCCCAGCTGTGCCTGACGGAGCAGGGCCTGTCACAGCCCCAGGCCTTTGTTTCCACAGCTAAAAATTTAGCTGAGAGCAGCTATTGGGAGCAGGTGAAAGAACAGTGGTGGAAGCTCTGTAAGTTGGGGGCACTAAGAAAAGGGTTTCCAGCCTCTTCCCAGCCCCTCTGAGCCTCTGCTTCTGGGCCTGTGTGGAGGAGTGTTTCCCACCTCCAGGGTGCAGGCAGGGCAACAGGATAAAGCAGGGGAAGAACAGGTTCCCGCCAGGGAGCTACCACACTGCACTTCACTGACTTCTCTTTCCTGCCTTTCCTGCCCCTGCTAGGGTCCCTCTGTAAGCAGAAGCAGGACAACTGGGGGACTAACAAGACCCTCTTCTCTCTCCACAGCAAGAACGTGTCACCCCAAAGTGCCAGCTTTGACCGTCTGGCAGCTCCGCGTGCAGAGGTACCCCTTCCCCCATGGTGGCAGGTCTTGGTGGCTGAGGGGTGACACCTGGAACCCCCATCCTACTGAGGAAGAACAGAGGTCAGCAGACAGGGGCAGGGAAGAAGGTGTCCATCTTTTGCCCACCCAGACAGCTTGCCTGGGTCTCCCCAGGGCGGACCCTACCGTGGGGACTGCAGTCTCAGACAACTCAGATAAAGCTTTGTCCCGGTCGCTTCACAGCATCCCAGGGTCATGCTTACAGAGGGCGTGGGCAGTCCCGGGGGAGAGCAGCTGGGGTGGGTAAAGCTAAGTGGGGGCTTAGAACCAGCTCTGTCTGGAGCATCTGACCCCACCCCACATGTGTGCTCGCCCAACCAGCTCCAAGTAGCTCCCATCCAGACCCAAGGCTCCTCCACCAACCAGTGGGAAGGCCTCAGACAAGGCAGTCATCCTGCCCACACATCAGTTTCCATGCCTGTAAAATGGGATACAAAAGGCTCTATAGAAGCTGAGCAAGAGCCTGGCATGGGTCCTCTCCCCCCACACCCTGCTCTTCTCCCCAGGCCCTATTCGACTTCACTGGAAACAGCAAGCTGGAGCTGAATTTCAAAGCCGGGGATGTGATCTTCCTGCTCAGTCGCATCAACAAAGACTGGCTGGAGGTGAGTTGGTGGTGAGGAGGGAGGGAGGGCGGAGGTGAAGAGGGAGTGTGGAGCCAAGGTGGCATCAGCTCAGATGTTCGGCAGGGCCAGGGACATGGGAAGGCCTTGGGGAAAACCCCCAGTGAAGATGTCAGAAGGTTGGGGACCCAGGCATGAGGGTGAGAAGCGTGTGGTGGAAAGAGAAGGCTCTGGAGTCTACGGCCTTTCCTTTGGTTCTGGATCCGAAGCTCATGTCATGTCCCTTTGGGCTTAGACATTCACCTCCTGAGTTTATTTCTTGGTCTTCGCCAGGGCTTCTTAGCAGCAGCACAGTTGACAGTTCTTGGGGGCTGGGTCCTGTCCAACCTGGGGTGTTTGGTAGCATCCTCGCCATACGGGTCTCCAGACATTTGCTGATGGGGGCGAAGTCACCCACAGTAGAGAGGCGCTGGCCTAGGACATGGGGCACTGCTACTCGCCTTACTGGTAGCAAAAGATTGTAATTAGAGCAGAAGCCCTAGCATCAGGCTGCAGGGGCATTCTCTGCTTTTGTCTGCTCATTCCTTTTGCTTTTGAAGGTCTTGCTAGGTTGGGCTGGAGCTCGTGGGCTCCAGGGATCATCCTACTTCAGCCTCCCAAGTGAGCCAGACCACAGTCATGCGCCACCACACCCAGCTCCTAGCTCTGGGGTGAACCAGCCTTGTGAACCCTTGGGGACTTGCCTGACCCTTCGGTGTCCTTTCCTATAAATAGAGACAGCACTGACAGGTTCCTCCCAGCTCCTGGAGGGGAAGGGGCAGGGCAGACGCGCAGGGCTTGTTCACCTAGAGCCTGGGTGCCTGGTGTCTGGCAAGGGTCCTGGGGTGACTTGGATGAGACTTGGAAGATGCAGCCTGTTCCAGTCTTTGCTTTGTCTCAGCATAGCCTTAGAAGGGACCCATAGTGACTTAATGAGGGGACATGTGGGCACGATGTGGAATTCTTGGCCCTTTACATCAGATCCCACTGTTATTAAAGAGAAGCTCTTTGCTCAGTGCCCTTAGGCTGTATCTAAAGAAGGTTCTAGGATGGGCTTAGGCAGAGATAGCTCCAAGGCCCGGGGACCATCACAACTAGGGAAGGAGGCTCTGAGATGCAGAGGCTGGAGAGGAAACAGAGGCATCTGGTGCAGGGGCCTGGAGCTCTGCTGCAAGAACTCGGCAGCTCTCACAGCCACCAGAGGTTCAGCTCTGGTCACTCTGCAAAAACAGGAAATGCTACTGCCTTCCTGTTTCCTGGAAAGACATATATGTCAGGATGACGGTCACCTTCTGGCCTCAGGTTGCAGGAATAGAGCAGAGGAAGGGGCCACTTTGGGCCTCAGCATGCGTGTCTGCAATAGCTTGTGAAGCCGGCGTATTGCATCATGCTGTGGGGAGGTGGGGGTGGCCAGCACTGCCATGTGTCCTCTGCAAGTCCCCTACTGGCATCCTCCCTTGTGAAGGATGCCCCAGGCAGGCACAGAAGCTAATCTACCTCGAGTGTCCAGAGCCTGCACATAGCTGGACTCAAGAAGTTGTTGTTGAACAAATGAATGAATGAGTGAATGAATGAATGAGTGCATGAGTGAGTGAATGAGTGAATGAATGAGTGAATAAATGGGTGAGTGAATGAATGGGCGAGTGAATGAATGGGCGAGTGAGTGAATGAGCAACTGAATGAATGACTGAGTAAATGAATGAGAGTGAATGAATGGGTGGTGAATGGGTGAGTGAATGAATAAGCGAGTGAATGAATGAGCAAATGAATGAATGAATGAGTGAGTAAATGAATGAATGAGTGAGTGAATGAATGAGTGAATGACTAATGGGCCAAGGTCACACTATCCCCTTCAAGAGCACCCAGTGACCTAAAGACCTCCCTCCAGGCCCCACCTCTTAAAGTCTCCACCCTCTAGGGACCACCTCAAACACACAGGAATTTGGGGATATTGAGACTCAAAACACAACACTTGCCCTCTATGGAAGGGGACCAGGAGGTCCTCTGGTGTCCTCTTCATTATGGCCCCAGGCCCTGTTCCCCCCCTCTTCTGTAGACCTGGCAGCCCCTTCTTCCTCTCCTCAGGGCACTGCCAGGGGAGCCACAGGTATCTTCCCAGTCTCCTTTGTGAAGATTCTCAAGGACTTCCCTGAGGAGGACGACCCCACCAACTGGCTGCGCTGCTACTATTACGAAGACACAATCAGCACCATCAAGTTAGTGGCCGGCTGGGGAAGGGGCTGGGCTATCCTTCATGCCGCCCTGCTGCCCCATGCCCCATACCACAACCCCCAGATTGTGCTCCCACCACCTTGAAGCCTGCTGTGGCTCCCAGTCTGCCAAATCAGTCTGGCCTCATTCCCAGCCCCTGCCCTGCCCCATGTACTTGCCCAGGCCCAACCCCCCAGCCCCCACCCCTGCCTGTTGCCCTTAGGGACATCGCGGTGGAGGAGGACCTCAGCAGCACTCCGCTGTACAAAGACCTGCTGGAGCTGATGAGGTGAGGGGCCTGGGGTGGAGGACAGAGAGGCCAGCTACCTGGAGCTCGAAGTGGGGAACCCTGCTAGCCCTGGGCTATAGGGATCTGAGTTCATCTTGCCCTCTTGCTGTGCCCAAGGCCCTGCAGGCTGGGCTGTGTCTGTCAGGAGAGCGAGGAGGCTGGAAGGGAGGGACAAAGGGACTGGCTGAGGCCACAGTGTGTGACCATAGATTTGCACCAGAACTAAAGTCTCTCTAGTGAAAAACCCTGGCCTTGGACACTTCGCCATCAGGGATCCACTTGACTCAAGACCTAGGTCATCACTGAATAGTTCTGTGGAGCAGCTGTAGTGTGGTTATATTTCTTACAATGAAAGTGATACCTACTCATAACAACACACATACCCCACATGGTAAATACACTAGAATTAAGGCAGCCATGACTTTTTCGTTGGCCACTTAGTCACCTCCCCCAGGGACATGACTGTAAAAGAACATGGGAACATCTTTGTCCCTGTATCTAATGACCTGTCTGATTATTTCCCTGGGGTCATTGTCCAGAAGCAGAATGCAGGGATCAAAGTACTTGCAATGACACCCACTGGGTCAAATGATCTATAGGAAATTCAGGTCAAGTTTTACTTTGGCCCCAGGGGAAAGATGCCCAGGCCTGCAGCCCACCCCAGACATCCTCTTCCTCACCAGGCACCAGGTCCTCCTGCACAGCATGCAGAGTTCTCTGTCTGTCCCTCTCTGTCTACCTGTCTCTGTCTCTGTCTCTGTCTCTGTCTCTGTCTCTCTCTCTCTCTCTCTCTCTCTCTCTCCTATGCTCTGTGCCCTCCCAAGCCATTTCCTTTTCCTTGGGACAGTTCCTAAGCTCTAGCAAAATAACACACAGGACATTCAGGCTCTGCCTGTATTTATTGTGAAAATCCCTTCTCCCCCTCTAGATCTCAGTTTCCCCATCTATACAGCAGGAAGGGCCTCTTCTTAGACACTAAGAGCCTGTGTCAAGCTCTGACCTCCTCTGATTCCCAGATCCAGGCTACACACGGGTCTTTAGCCCTCTGTACCAGCCCTGGGCTCTGGGCTCACTCCTCAGGCCTCATGTTAACCCTGACTTTTCCCACCCAGGAGGGAGTTCCAGAGGGAAGACATCGCCCTCAATTACCGGGACGCAGAGGGGGACCTGGTACGGCTGCTGTCAGATGAGGATGTGGGGCTCATGGTGAGGCAGGCACAGGGCCTCCCCAAGCAGAAGCGCCTCTTCTCCTGGAAGCTGCATGTCACCCAGGAGGACAACTACAGCGTCTACAACACGATGCCCTTGGCCGCTGGGAGATGAGGAACTTTAGGAAAGATAGGGAGGGCTGAGGAGACTTCCTGGGTTTGAGGCTAAATAGTGAGTGCCTTTGGGGGAGCAAGGAGTGAGAGTAAAATACCATTCAATGAGCATCAACTGTGACCATTTATATCCAGCAGGGGCACCCCTGGCTTGAGCCTCTAACCAGCGCTCTATCCCATATCCTGTGTGTAGCGAAATCCAGCGACACCCGTCCCTGCTGCCCGCCTTTCCTTTGCCCCTCCCCCTCCCTCCTTTCCTGGGCTTGGCTGGCTGCCCCTGGCCCCCTGGGGTCCTGCTGAAGCCCAGGCCTTGCTGGGTGATGAGGTCAGCACTTCCTCTGCCTTCTCAGTAACACTGCCTGGTAAAGGAGAGGGAGAGAGCGGGGTCTCGGTTCCAGGGGGTCCCTACTGCAGATGGGGGAAAGGACAGAGGTGAGCAGGCTCTCTGAGCCTGCCAGGGATTGGGGTGGGGGCAGGGCCAAGAGGTCTGCTGTGAGCTGAAGCTCCTTCCACCACCCAGGCCTGTCCAAGTTCAGCAGGAGTCTCTTCCAGAGTGGTGACGCGAGGAGCCGGAGTAGCAGCAGCCAAAAAGACGGGGCTCGCTCTCCCTTGGCTCCTCGTCTGTTGCAGTTCCACTCCGGAACGGACAGGTGCCAGGGCCCACAGGTGGGCCCGCAGGTGCTCCCACAGGTGCTCCCGCAGGTGCATTCCAGCAACGCTGGCTGCAGGATGGAGTTTCCTAGCGCTGCCATGACAAAGGGCTGTGAAATACGGGCTTACACTCGGGATATCTATGGTCCCGCAGCTCTGGAGGGCAGACATCTGAGAGCAAGGTGTCCATGGGGGTCTTCCCCATGCAACTGGTAGGGAGACCCGTCCTGGCTGCTCCCGAGTACCCAGTGGTTGGTCCACCATCTTTGACAATCTTCAGCATTATTCTGTGTTCACCTGGGCTTCTCCCCTGTGTCTTCGCACCGCCCACCCTCTGTGTGCATCAGGCTCCTTGTCCAATGTTCTCTTTTTAGAAGCACATCAGTAATGTGGAACTAGGTCCTCACTGGTGACCTAACTTTACCTTGATTTTATCTCTAAAGACCCTATTCCCAAACAGGGTCACATGCTGGGATGGGAGGTGCTAGGATTTCAGCATCTCATTGTCTTTTCAAGCACAATGACACGTGTTTGCCCACCCAAATCCTACTAGAAGAGCAACTGCTCAGCCACAAGGGCGCTGGACTCTAGCTCCCCTATAGGGCAGAGATCTGTCTAGGGCAGCTTCTTACCCGTGGGCTGAAATGCCTAACATACCCAAATTAAAAGAGGAAGAGTTTAGGGTGGTTCATGATTTCAGAGGTTTCAGTTCAAGGCCAGCCAACTTCCAGGCAGAAACAGGATTGCAGGAGGGCATTGTGCAGGAAAGCTGCTCGGCTCACAGTAGCTGGGAGCAGAGAGTGGAAGAACCCTAGAAGACGGGCAAAGGGACAGGCTATGCCCATCAAAGGTACCTGCCTAGTGACTCAGTTTCCCCAACTGGGCTCCACCTGCTAAGGGCACATTCAGCTTTGAACTTACCAATGGATTCATCCTCTGATAGGTTAGTGCCCCACAATCTAGTCACCTCCCAAAGCCTCATCTCTGAGCACCTAAGACTTTTTTTTTTTTTTTTTGCAGAACAGGAGTTGAACTCAGGCCCTTGCGCTTGCCAGGCAAGCACTTAATCTACTGAGCTATCTCCCCGGCCCCTCACATGAGACTTTGGCAGGACATTTAAACCCAAACCACAAAAGATTCCATACAAAGAAGGATACATATGCTAGTTTGCTGTGGCTACTAGACTAACAGCCAGACACTAAGTGGCCTCAACAACAGCAGCATGGTATCTCCGCGCTGGAGACCAGAAGTCTGAATGCAGGAGGTCCGCGGGGCCAGTTCCTGCTGAGGACTGCGTGGGCAGCACGGCTGCAGGCTCCTGTTCCTGGGTTGCAAATGAACACCCTCTCCTTTTGTTTTTCATATCGCCTTCCCGCTATGCCTGTCTGTCTCTGTCTAACATCTTATTTTCATAAAGAGGCCACTCTCACGGCCTCATGGTAACTTGATCAACTCTGTAAAATCCTTCCTCTACGGTCCCCTTCCCCAGGTACTGGGTTAGGAATCCAGCGTGTGTGTTGGAGTAAGGGAGGACACATTTCAACCAATCTCAGTATGTTAGAATCCATTTTGAAAAGAATTAGGTGACTTCCCAAGGAGTGCCCTTCCAAACCCAATCGTTTGGCTTCTCAGATGTTGCCTGGCCGTATTCCCTAAGGAACTGTCTTCAGAGATGACACCTTGACCCTGGTCGGGACACACAGTGTTAGAGAGACCGGAAGCCTCCCAAGAAGCCGAGGCTGCAACAAGGAGGCTTCTACATACTACACAGTCGAGGCGCAGAGCTGGGCTCAGGTCAAGGTAGTGGGTTGTTGTGCAAAATAAAGACCACGCTGCTGCCAGAGGCAGGGCCTGCGAGGTTGTGAGTGGGGAGGTTGGTTGGGCTCTTATGCTAGGTAGGCCAAGCCTCTGGGTGAGCGCTGTGGGCGTCCTGGGTGAGGGGCATATCTGGCTGCAAGCAGAAGAGAAGAAAGTGCTTTCCGGACTGAAACATCGTCATTGCAGGCTGATAGGAATCGCTTAGGGTAAGAGCAAGCGAATGATAGAGACCAATGAACTTTGTGAATGAGAAGATTAGTGACCGCTTTAGAGCCCCAGTGCCTATAGGACATTAAGCTAAATGTGTAAAAAAGTGAGCAAGAGATCAAAAGAGAAATGAGAAAAAGAAATGACCAGGCAAAGCCAGGCGTGGTGGTGCACGCCTGTAATCCCAGCACTTGGGAGGCTGAGGCAGGAGGATCGTTGCAAGTTAGAGGCCAGCCTGGGCTACAAACTGAGCTCAAGGCCACTGAACTACACAGCTAGACCCTGTCTCAAAAACACCAGAGAGAGAGACAGACAGACAGACAGACAGACAGACACAGACAGAGAAAGCAAACTTTCAAATTTGCAAAGAAAACACACATACACACGCACGCACGCACGCACGCATGCGCGTGCATGCACGCACATGCATATGCACAAATACTAGGGACTGGATAAAAGTTGATGCACTGGAAGCTTGGTTTCCAGCATGGTGGGTTGATATGGTGGAATCATCAAGGGAAGGAGTCTCGTGGAAGCTAGTCAAGTCATGGTGGCTCCAGCCTCGTGAATGGATCAGCGTGATCGTGCAGGCTGGGTCGGGACTCAGAAGATGTTGCTCTCATGGGAGCGGATGGTCGAAAGGCAAGGCTGCACTTAGAAGTAGTTGGAAAAAGCCACCAGCCATGGCCTTTGACATGTTTATCCAATTTATCACTTATTACTATGCAAATGAGACCTAATGGGCTATCAGAGAAGTGTTTTCTGACCAATTGGTGGCCACTTCATACCAGTGAAACTAACCACAGGAATTCTAGACTAGAAAACACAGCTGTGAAATGTTATGCTTGGAAAACTGCTATGCACAGCCCTTTCCTCAGCTTCTTGTGAAAGGCAATACTTCAGCTTTTATTTCTCCCCTGTGAGGATGTGTGTTATTACCTGTGTACAAAGAAGTTTAGAGGAAGGGTAGTTTTTTTTTTTTCAAATTGTCTCCACAGAAAGCTACAGAGTCTAAAATTCCATGACTCCAAGGAGTCTAGGTTTAAAAATGACATTTACACAATTGCCAATATTTGGAACAGTGCTGGTAAATCAACATGAACAAATTCTTGACACATACTCTGACTACAATGATGTCTACAAAAAGAAAGAAGAGAGAAAGAAGATGGAGAAGGAGGAGGAGGAGGAGGAGGAGGAGGAAGAGGAGGAGGAGGAGAAGGAGAAGAAGGAGAAGAAAAAAAAGAAGAAGGAAGAAGAAGAAGAAGGAAGAAGAAGAAGAAGAAGAAGAAGAAGAAGAAGAAGAAGAAGAAGAAGAAGAAGAAGAAGAAGAAGAAGAA